AATGAATCATTATTTATGGGCTAAATCTCTCTCCAAATAAATGGCTCTAAATATGAACTGCAATCTCCAAATCTCAAATTAATATCTTAAAATATTTAACTAGAGTTATTCCTCAAGCTAATGAGATAGTGTGGAACTTATGATCTCTATTTTGTTATCGAAATTCATTTTAATATTAGGTAAATCACCCTGAAATTAAAATCCATTCCCCCAACAGTAATGTGAACGACACCAATTAGGAATGACAAATAAACAAATAAATATAAATCCTACTATATTCCCTAGAGATTCCATACCCCTTGCTATATTTCAGTCCAGTGGGAGCTTCATTAATTATTTCCTACCTTATCTGCTAGCGAATGAAAGCCTCGTTTGGATCATGATCCCTACCAATTGAAGAAGAAAAAAAAGACTTGTTCAAGTGCTATGAACACATTAGTGTTCTCTAGGGGAACCATCAATCTACTCAGGTATGAGTGAATTAAGTTTATAAATAGAATAACATGCATCCTCTATGTTAACTAATGTGTCCCTATCATTGAAGGAGCTCAGATAATACAGCCCTAGTCTCTAAGAGATATGAGATTTTCTAATTATCTTACAGTTTTGTGTGTGAGTGCCTGCAGAGGCTGAGATATTGAAACATTTGCCCAAAACAAAAACAACCTGAGACTTTTTAATACTGTAATTGAACCTAAGAGAATTAAGGAAGTCACATCAAACAACAGCTACGATAAAAATGCAGAACAATAATGGCTTTAAGTTAATTGATTTCTAGAGAGCACAAAGTAGCTCTATGGGGCTAGATAGTCTAGTTTCCATGCTCTATGTATCCTTTATGTAATGGGAATAATGACCATGAAAAATAAGACAAACATTTTGCAATGTTTCATAAAACATAAAAATCAACCCTTCCTGGGAATGAAACCCCATATATCCTTACCGCATGGAATGGAATATCTCAGAGCTTAGCCCTAATACCACTGTGGTTGTATGGCACAAAATCCAACCTAGAGTGTAAAGAAAGGTTCCTCAATCCTTAGGTCTCACCATTTTCCCCAAACACAAAAGAATTATACACTTTTACTTCATTTCAAAAAATCTCTTGCAATGCCTTAGACAATTCATTTTGCTTATATATCTTTGGCCAGAATAAAGACAGAATATTAAATATATGATATGTATATAAACATATGAATAAGTATTAATCTAATTATTTTAAAACAAATATAAATATTTGGCTCAGCATTGGTACAACTGTAGTCAATATCCACAGGGGCTATTTATTTCACTGATTTAAGAGGTGACTGATTCTTCAACAGTCAGTAGCTTAAGAAGCTGTGTATAAAAATGCCTTCATGTTCTGTGGCTTTAAAAATATGCCTTTGGTCTACAAAGTCATGAAAAATTAATCCAAGTACATTTGCACATAACACCAATAACTGGGAAAAAACAGCATATTTTTCATATTCACTAGTTATTCCCAATAATTACTATCATGACCACTTCTAAGGTAAGTTAGCATTTCTGCCATTTTCACAGAAAATGTTAACTTGCATAATATCTCAGTAGCTCATTTCTGCTTTACAACACACAATAGTCACTCCTGGTTAACTCTGCTAATGGCAAGGAGATAGGGGAAAGGTTATTCCTAAATCCTTCATATTTCATTCTGAGGTACATAAACATTAATTTGAACAACAGATTTGGTTTTCCAAATAGTTTACTTGGCTACCTAGTTTCAGGGTATTTGTTGTTTCTTTGTAGTATATTGTTTTCTGTTTACAATTTTGCATGTTTCTAGCCTGGCTATTGAAAGGGAGACCATGGTTTTGAGCCTGAGTAAAGCCAACTCAGATGAGAAACTAGTTCTGGACAATCTGTACAACAGGTAATTTGCAAATCAGGAAGCAGAAGTTAACTATTTGTGGATCAGAGATCAAAATCATTTAGCTCCTGGTACTCTGGATACAAATTCTCCTTCCAAGATACCAATGATGTTAAATAAATAAAAAACTTGACTGCAAATCAGCAACACCATGATTAGTGGATGTGGGAAAATCCCTCCCTAGACAACATTAAGATGCCTTCTTTAGCATTTTATTTCCTTGATATATCTATTCTGGTACCATTTCGTATTACCTACAGGCCTGAAAGGGAATATGTTGTAGCCTCACTTAGAGCCATAGCTCATTACTATATGCTATGTTTTTCAAAGCACCCAACTCATACCCTGGGATTAATTTATTTATCCGTAAATAAAGTAACCATATTTTCTGTACCTCAAATTGGGCCATATGGTCTGATATGTATTAGCATACTTTTTTATGAAGATACTGTAAGAAATTGGGACTGCTATGGAAACAGAGAACCAAGTCAGAAATAAAACTCATATCACAGTCCTAATCTTAATTTACATTTCAGAAGTACACATTCCCATTTACCGCAAAAATAGCTCTGCTTCCTTCAATCTTGAACACAAACCACTCCATCAACATTCTTTCAAATAGGAATACTGATCTTCGTACTAGAAAGTAGGATTGTTTTCTAACCTGTAACAGTTACATTGGTTTGGATGACCCTGTGTTTTGAGTCAAGCTTCTTTGCAGGCAGGAAAACCAAGAAGTACCTTTTGTCCACACCAAATGTCCCTTGCCGAATTCAGAATGACTTTTGGGTCAGGAAGATTTCCTGGAACAGGCCCCTTTGCCACTGAATGACAACCCGTAATCATTCTATACTGTATCAATAAAAAAAAAAAAAAAACACACACACACACATAAAGAGGGATGTTACACTCTGCATCATGCACATGAGCACATCACATGCTCACCAAAAACTGTAAAACCAACCTAGGTGTATTTGCCACTTTACCTAGGAACAGCTGCGATGTGGTGGCTAAAGGTGCATCACAATCCTCAAAATCAACAACAGAGAACACCATTTCTGATTCTGTTGGGATGTGGAGATACTACTGTTTATGATTCCAGTGCAATTAAAAATAACTTTCTACTGGCTAATGTTGACTTTCTAAAAACTGGATATATATCTGAACTCAAAAGTATTTTCCATAGTTATTTCTTATGCATAGATTGGATTCTATTTCAACAGATGTTTTATGAAAACATTTTCACAAACCTTCAGTGATCCTGTTTAAAACTAATTTGACAAGCTGGGGCACCTGGGTGGCTCAGACAGTTAAGTGTCCGACTTCAGCTCAGGTCATGATCTCGGGGTTTGTGAGTTCGAGCCCCACATCAGGCTCTGTGCTGACAGCTCAGAGCCTGGAGCCTGCTTTGGATTCTGTGTCTCCCACTCCCTGTAACCCCTCACCTGTTCATGCTCTGTCTCTCTTTCTCAAAAATAAATAAACATTAAAAACAAAACAAATTTGACAAGGAAAGCAGTGACACTTGTGAAATACTACATGTGCTTAGGCATAAAATGAGTTCCCCAGCATAGGTCGGAACACTCGTTTACTGACAAGACTGTACTATAACAAAGCAAGAAATCAAAATGTTTACTTACTAACTTTCACATGTATTCAACTGGAGACTGAGTTATTTTTTATTAAGGGAATCCCTTCCCTTTCGTTGTTAGAATAAAGAGCTTCAAAATACACCCTATTCATTCAGTTTCATTTACATTCTAAAAACTCAATCTCAAAATCTCTGGTTCTCTATTTAACCCAACAGTGAGATTTTAAACTGTTTTTGCTCTTATTACCTATGATACCAAGACCGATATGATTTGAATACTTAGAAAATATCCAGCTAGTCTAATAACTTCCTTCCACTCCAGAGAATTTTGGTGCTAAAAGGAATCAAGTGATAATGTAGCACAACAGCCTGGTTGTACACTTAAAAACAAAACAAAACAAAACAAAACACCTGAGAGTCAAGATGAAATGATGTGTCAATGTCAACGAGCCATCTCTCCACTCCCAGACCATCCATCATTCCTTTGGCACCCAAAAGCTCTATTTTGCAGAAATTGAAAGGAGTATTTAGTCCTCTTTTCTCCATAACTGGTCTGCATAACTGTTTCCCTTTCAAACATTTAAAAGAGAGAACAATGTATCCACCCTTGAAAAAACTCTGCTTAGGATGACCTTCAAATATTGTACTTCTGGTAACATTATCATCTGAAAAGCAACTAGAGGATCCGAGGTTCACAAAATTCAAATCTCTAAATGGGGCCACTTCTCTTTTATCTTACAGCCAAATGTGTGTGGTGGCCTCTGAGAGGAGAGTTTCCTAAATGTCAGTTACAAATAGCTTCTGAAAGCATATTACTCAGTAGATAAAATTTTTACAAATGGTACTAAAGCACCTTGCTTAGCTAGCTTTAACTTGGAAAAATGTTATACATTCACAGCTGCAATTGACACTTTCTCTACCTTCACACATTCTCTACAAGAGAAGTGTTCCATACAAAAGTGCCCTAGACAAATCTTGAGGGCTTGCATGCTTTCTTCTTAGTGTGGAATCAAGATTCAGACATCTTAAAATAAATGCATCTTGAAAGAAAATGCAAACCAACACACATACATGTAGTGATAACCTAATATTTGCTTTGGAAGCCCATGGCTGTCACTTCTCGTCTGTATTACACTTAAAAAAAACTATGTAAAATACAGGAAAATCCCAGGATCCCAAAAGGACTATATTTCTTGAATTCACAGAATTATCAAATCTAATACGTATCGGCTAAATTTATTATAACTTTCAGCTTTAAAAAGGAGCTGTGGTAGAAATGTAATACCTTTTCCCTTCCAAGCATAGCCAAATCATTGCCATTGGGATTATTGAATGTTCAATAAACATCCAATGCTGGATAGCATTTAAATTATCTAAAATATAATCTGACCTAGTTGGGTACAGAAAAAGATACATGGTACCTCACTCACAGAGTCAACTTTTTTACACCAGGACATGCCCGGGATCTTTCTTTCCCCCAAGTGAAGAAACTGTAGCAATTATTCAATGAGAGGCTATCTTGTGTCTGCATATCCACTTCCTGTAAGGAGCTCAAAATTAAAGAAATTACCCATGATTTTCACGACATCCTAATAAAGCAGATGTAACTCCTGGGTTCTTTTTTTTTTTTTTTTTTTTTTTTTTTTAACTTTTGTTTAATGTTTGTTTATTTTTGAGAGAGCACAAGTGGGGGAGGAGCAGAGAGAGGAGGACAGAGGATCCAAAGCAGGTTCCTCACTGACATCAGTGAGTCCATGAGGGGCCTGAACTCAGGCACCAGGAAATCATGGCCTGTGCCAAGGTCCCAAGCTCAGCGGACTGAGCCACCCTGGTGCCCCATAACACAGGGGTTCTAATTCTTCTCTTTCCAGAGGAAGATTAAGCAATGTGGACATAACATCAGGCATTTATATGGAACTAGGCATTTCTGAGTTATCACATGCTATTTGCTTTCCATAACAATTCTATGAAGTAACGAAAGCCTTTATGTGCCCTTTTTTTCTTTTTTTACTAATGAGGAAATTGGGGTGTGGAGATTAATGGTGACTTTTTCAAATGAATAGTGACCAACCCAGATAGCCTTACTCCTAGTCTGTTTGTTATATTTTTGCTTCAAATCCAAAATATATTAAAATGACGTCTTTGAAATCTTATTACAAGATTGCATATCCTTGTTTTATCATTCACTATTGTCTACTGGAGATCTTTGGTCAGAACATTCAATCAACTCCCCCCGCTTACTGCCTTTCATTCTCCAACAGGTATTCTTGAAAGGTATTTTTCTTTAACTGGTGGGGATGGGGTGGGGAGAAGCGTGTAACTTTGCTTTTAAATCTAACATGGATTTATTTTGAATTTCAAATATCATTAAAGATTTATGTTATTATCAAATGATGGCCTGGGATTTAAAAGCTTGAGAAAAGCTATTCTTGATCATTCTTTTCTTCCTTTCTTTTTTCTTTTTTTTTAATTCACAGTTGTCAGAGTTCATTATGTGCTACATAGTATATTTTTCCCAAACCTCAGGACAACCATTTTATAAAGAATAGATGTTGAAGAAACATTAGAGAATAAGGCCTCTTATGCATTCTAAATTTGCTACTCTATATCTCATTATGACTTACTAGTGTAAGTCCGATTACTAGCTGTTACCTCACATTCTAGAACATCTTGTCATGATTTAAGTGCAGTTACATGTGTCACAAGTTCCCTTTACAAAACTGATAGCGATGGTGATATTGAAACCAAATGTTTTGACACAATCCTTCTTTGTATCATTTTTAGCAAGTGGAATGCTAAATTCTGAGGTGAATCCCCACCCTGTGCCTTTATGCAGCTGCACAAAGAAATAAACTTAATAAATCTAGCATTTACGTTGCACATTTAATAGAAAGCTCTTAAGCCATAATCACTGTAGCTGCTGGGCATCTTATTTTCTTCAAGAATTCTTTCAGTGCATGCATTAACTTTGGTTAAATTATTCCGCATTTAAAAGGCAGAAGAATAATTAAAATAGTATGGTGTCAGAAGCATCATTGTCACAGTCCAATTTCTAAAAGATTCCGTTGCTAAATTTTACTTCAGAGTCCCTTTGCAGATCAGTTATTTAGATTTTAAAAGAAGGGAACCATGTGCTGTTATCTGCGTGGCCATTAGTCTCACACAAAGAAAAGAAGAGAACATAAAATAAGACTAAGAAATCATTCTTCCAATGATTGTCACTGAACTGTTACATTAGTAAACACTCACAGTAGGAAGTCTCTCTCAATCTCCATCATATAAAGTAGTGCAAAGGAAAAAAAAAATTCCAGTCCTGTTATCTGTGAACAAAACTTGTTACATTTTCTCCGATTTCACTTCTTCCATTATTGTTAGGCATTTGCTGTCATATCTTCCCCCAAATTAATAATAAAATATAATCAATTTCTAAAGGCCCCTGAAGCCTTTTTAAAAGTTAATTTCCAGTTAAAAATAAACTTTAATTAAATCCAAGATAAAACTGTGACCTATATTCTATTAAATAATTCACTTTCCTTTTTTTTTCCCCTACACAGTAATTCTTACAATTTTAAAAAAACAACTATGGAATCCAAAGACATGAGATGCTATCAGATCACTGATAAATGACTGCTCAAATTCATTAGTTCTTACATAGTAAATACTTCAAAATGCCAACTCTTCCCATCACTGCACAATTACTAACAATGTTGACAATTTACTTGCACATACACGCACGCAGCACGTGTGCGCGTGCACACACACACACACACACACAAACACACATATACCTTCTCTCCACAGAACCACCTTTACTTTTAACATCTTTTCCAGTTAGTGTGCAAAATTCTTGCATTCTAATAAAAAATATAAAGATAAGATTTGCTCCTATTTTAGCCTCCCTCTTCTCCAAGATGTATCATTTATTTGATATGTAATACAAGTTGAGTAACAATTATGTCACGTATAACCATTAAATGGTGTACTACTATATGCATTAGATTCGTTTGCATATTTCATTTTCATAACTCCACTCTCTATGCATAAATATATTTGGAGATACTGGGGCTGGGGGTGGGGGGGAGGCAGTGGCAGGTGGAGAACAAGATTCACACATCAGTCTCCACAGCCTTCGCATTAGAACAGTTGTTTTTATCTGTCTCACTGTCGTCCCCCTTTCCCTGACACTTCTCCTCCTTTGCACAGAGAGATTCCTTAACTCCTTCTTCCATCTCTAGATACTCTGACTTGTCCCCCAGGGAAGAAGAAGTAGAGCTCCGGAATTTCTTCAGCAAATTAGAAGGGAGGTATGGGCAACTGACTGCGTTCTGTGTCAGCTGTGTCTGTTCCTCATTCTCAGTCTCTCTGTGGTAGAAATAGTTAAAGTTAGAGACAATCACTGGCACTGGCAAAGCAATGGTTAAGACACCTGCAATGGCACACAGGGACCCCACGATCTTGCCCCCCACAGTGATGGGCTTCATGTCCCCATAGCCCACAGTTGTCATGGTCACCACGGCCCACCAAAACGCATCTGGGATGCTTTGGAAATGGGTGGTAGGTTCATCTGCCTCTGCGAAATACACAGCACTGGAAAACAGGATGACCCCAATGAAGAGGAAGAAGATCAGAAGTCCCAGCTCCCGCATGCTGGCTCTGAGGGTGTGGCCCAGGATCTGCAGGCCTTTGGAATGCCTGGAGAGTTTGAAGATCCGGAATACTCGGACCAGACGGATGATCCTGAGGATAGCGAAGGACATGGCCTGCTGCTGCTGACCGTTGCCACCCCCCTGCTGCTGGGCCAGATCAGTGCCCAGGGTGATGAAGTAAGGCAAAATGGATACAATGTCAATGATGTTCATGATGTTTTTGAAGAAGAGTGCTTGGCTGGGACAAGCAAAGCAGCGAACCACAAACTCGAAGGAAAACCAAACAATACAGACTGTCTCCACAATGAAGAAGGGGTCGTTGAAGATGGTGTGCCCTGAGTTCTCTAGGTGGGGTGCCGAGGTGTCATTCAACAACCCACTGTGCCCGCCTGCACTCAGTGCCATGATGAGATCCCTGTCGTCCCTAAACTCAGGTAAAGTTTCCAGGCAGAAAATGACAATGGAGATTAAGATGACCAGGACCGAGACGATGGCTATGCCCCTTGCTGGACTGGAACTCTCCGGATACTCAAACAGAAGCCAAATCTGCTTTTTAAATTCATTCTCTGGCAAGGCCCTGTCCTCCTCTTCTCTCACAAAGCCCTCGTCCTCCCGAAACTTGAGCAGGGCCTCCTCTCCCAACTGATAGAACTTCACCTCCTCAGTGAAGATATCAAAGGGGACATTGACTGGCCTCTTGAGGCGGCCTCCTGATTGGTAATAATATAAGATGGCATCAAAGCTAGGCCTGTTTCTGTCAAAAAAATACTCATTACGCAAAGGGTCAAAGTACTGAGTCCTCTTCTCAGGGTCTCCCAACAAAGTCTCTGGAAACTGGGCCAGAGTCTTCATCTGGGTCTCAAAGCGCAGGCCCGACACATTTATCACCACACGTTCACAACAGTCACTGTAGCGGACTGAACTATAGCCACCGCCGCCCCCGTCATCCTGGGGCAGCAGGTCCGTGTAGGAACATTCATCACCATGGTCATCCTCACTATAGTAAAACCTTCCTTCCTCTTCCTCCTCCTCCTCCTCCTCCTCCTCCTCTTCCTCTTCCTCACTCAGTTCCCTCAGAATCTTCTCCTCAGAGCCACTGGGCATCAGGTCGGAGCAATGAGGAAAGCTGCTCTGGCGGTGGTGGACTCTCCTCTTCTCAGGCCGCTGGCGCCTCCTCCTCCGACTACCCCGGCTGCCCTGAGGGTCATGGGAGGTGCAGGCCCCACGCGACTGGTGGTGGTGGTGGGAGCTCCCTCCAGAACCCCCACTGCCCTCCACAGCAGCTGTGGCAGCTGCCACGGCGGCTGCCGCAGCTGCCCTCGAGTGAGCAAGCCTCTCCCGCTCCCGTGCCCTAGCCTGGGCCGCGTAACCATAAGGCATGTGACTGTTGCACCCTGAGCTCTCCGCACTCACCATTGCAACCTCCATGGTGGTGGTTTTTGGAAATGGCTGGTTCCAGTTGTAGAAGAAGAAGAAGAAGAAAGAAAAATAGGGCAGCTTCTTTTGTCACCAAATGAAGGTAAGTTTGGAACCCTTAAGCAGATTGCTTGGAAGACTAAGGATATTTTCAGTCCAACTTTGCATTTTCTGTTTTTAAATCAGCACGCCCCATGCTCTCTGTTCCCAGGGATTCAACATTGCTCTCCGGAGCTTGGCTGGTCTAGATAAACAACCTAGCACTCTCAGGCCTAAGTCAGAAAATGTTGGGGTCTCCCAAACACCTGTTTCAGGGTGGCTGTTCAAATTTGGAAATACGTCTAGGGTGGTTGGTGATGATGCTGCAAGATTCAAAGGCAGCAAGTGTCTGACAGCCAGCAGTTGTGCCTAGAAAATGGAATATATTTTTCTGCCATGGAAATTGTCCAAAGCTCAGTCCATCAAATTTAAATAAAATGCAAATAAGCCTTTAGTCTTAGCACTTGCCTTCTAGTGATGGCTTGACCCATGTTAACATGTGGCTTGAAGTATGTCCAGCCATTGCTGCTCAAAGCCTATCAGGATGATTCTCCAGGTGCTCCCCTTAAGTTCATCATAGGCTTCCTGGACCCAGGGGCAATGCCAAGCTATTGAGAGAGGCAAAGACCTTGGGAGGTAGAGAAGGTACAAGATGAGGTGTCAGCAGGAGCAAACCCAGCTCTGAGGTCTCCATAGAAATCAAGGAAATGCAGAGCATCCTTCAGCTAAAATCATGCAGAAGAAGTACTTCACCTGAAAAAGGAAGGGAAATAAGCATAGAAGAAAAATAAAAAGAAGAATCAAATCATAAAGAGCAAACAGCGTTTCCTTCCCATACACTTCTTTTTCTTGTCCTCAAGCAAACCATATAAAGCACCAAGGGGCCACAAATTTCCAAGGAGTATGGGGCAGGTTGTTAAATCTCCTCCCTCACTAAACCATCCTTCTTCCCTTCTTCTTTGGTTATTATTTCGGCTCAGTCTATTTTCACGGCAACTCAATTATTTTTCTTCTCTCCACTCTCGACCCACATGGCTCTTCCTTCAGCTCTCCCTCTCACTCATGCCAGGTCTTAATTCTCGCTGTCATTTTCTTCATGTCACAACAATAATGCTGTCACTTTATAGCTGCTTCCATCATTCAGTGATCTCAAGGCAGTTTTTAAAATTTCCACTCATCAAATATTTCTGAATTTAGTGCCTTTCCACCCCTTTCTGTCTTGATTCAGGATTAGAGCAGTTGGAAAAACCAGTTCTCTTTAATCCAGGCTCCATCACTTCCACAAGATTCAATCATCTCATCTATGAAGTGTGGGTCATAATACAACCTCCTCCATCCCACTTTGTAAGGTTTGAATGAGACAATGAATGTTGATAGAATAGCACTGACATAATGAATATCAATACACACTGGACAGTAACCTAAGCTTTTATCATCTATCTACACACCCCCAGATGTATATGTCCTTATACCATACTGTCTGAATTAGGGGAGGACAGAATGTGAGGACATCCAAAACATTTTGAGACTCATCAATGGCCTGTATTAAGTTGGCACTTCTTGACTCCCTGAAGCATGTCCCTGTTGTTGTTTTTCTGTTCCCCAGACTCCAGAACACTCTCTACCACCCACAGCCTAGGAGCTAATCCCAGTTTCCACTTCTCTGATAATCATCTTCTCTCCTTGCTGCTTCCTCCGTGTTCACCTCAATGCTTTCTCCTACACTCTTCTCAAGAGACTATTTCCTTATGTTTTAAATCCCAGTTTGTGTGGACTTCATTTTCAGCCTGTCATACTTCCCCCCATAATTTCATCTATGATCTCCCATCTCCCAACTCCCTCTGCCTCTCCCTGACTCTCTCTGCCCACCTTTGTCTCCAACATGCCCACTTGCTGATCATGTCTTCCTTGCAGCCCCAATCTGGCTCCACCGTCACTTGGTAATCCTGGCCTTTCTTCTCAGTTGGCTCTCTCTAGGTCAGGCTAATTCATTTCCTCAGCCAAGACCTGTAAAAACTGCCCCAATCTCCTGTCTCCTATGCTTTTGCACTCACTGTGTCCAACAGGACTTCCAAGAATGCAGACAGTAGCCCAGAGACTTGGGGAGGATAATGCCAGTCAGAATCCAGGGCATCTACCAGGTTCTGTTACTGGAAGCACTTGGGAAGCAAGAGAAATGGCTTTCTGGAGCTATGAACAGGATTCAGCTCCTGACCACCTGCTGCTTCTTGCTGAATCCTGTCAGGCTAGAAGCCTAAACCTACCAGAGTTTTATGAAGTGACAAAGCAGAGAAGGGACAAACAGAGGGCTTCCCAATCATCTCACACTCTCCTAGGGCAAGAAGTGAGCTTTATTGGGACACATAAAACCCAGAAAATACACTTCTGAAGGTATCTCAAATGACAAGCCCCTTCCTTTGCCTGACTCCTAGCATCATCAAATACTCTGAAATGTTTACCCTCAGAAGGTCTCCAAATCTCTACTTACAAAACTACCCTGGGGTTACATTTATTCTGGAAGGTCAGGCCACCACCTTTTAAAGAACTTTCACAGGCCGAAGAGCCTGAGAGTTTGCTCAGTTTCTTTCCCAACTCCCTCAAAGCCGTTACAATACACTATTTAAATAAAACCCCAATAGAACCAAAGTGCCTGTATATTTGTGTACTACGCACACCCCTCTCCCAACTAATTGACTCCCAGAAGGTCATGAATTAGTAGGTCTTCCGATATCCCATCAATTCTGCAGGAGATAGAGACCTGCCCTCATCTGGCTCTACACTATTTACTTTATTTATTTATTTATTTATTTATTTATTTATTTATTTATGTTTGTTTGTTTGTTTGTTTGTTTGTTTATTTTCTTCCTCCCCCACCTTACAAAAAGCAAATTACCTTCCTTTTAATTGGCTACCAGTTACCTCACTATCCCTAACCTAGAAGAAGATGATGATGATGATGAAAAAGAAGAGGAGGGCGAGGAGGGAACAGGAGGGAGAAGGGAAAGAATAAGAAAAAAAGAAAAAGAATAAAAAAAAAAAAAGGAAAAAAAACCTTCCACACAGCCAAACTCATTTAAAAATCTCTCTTCCTTTCCAAGGTATTCCTGTTTCGGAGAATCTATTCAATCCGACTCCCAGGAGCCTTGATGGGGGAGACCTTTGCAGGGGAATTTCCTTTCCTCTTTAACACCATTAAACTAATAGGATTTAGCAGACTACCTATTCCCGAATCCCTGTGCCCCCCCAAACAACAGCCAAGCATGCCTCCCCTCCTCCTCTCACCCCCCAACAAGGAGGCTGTTTTCCCCTCTCAGTGCTAATTCCTGCAACTGGCTTAGGGTGGTACCTGAACCTATCAGAGAGAGAGAGAGAGAGAGAGAGAGAGAGAGAGAGAGGGATTGAATCAAAAAACCAACACCGTGAGAAATATACACTTCAACGCACGCCATTTATACAGTCCCTATGTGCTGCTGAAATGCTCGGAAAAGGCACGCAAATCCAAATGCTGGGGGAGACAGCAATTCAAACCCGTTCGCCAGCTGTTCCCAAAGAAACAGAACCGGTGAGTCTGGGATGAGGCAAAAGGATGCTAAATCTAAACCCCACCTCGTTGGGAAACGACATGTTTAATCGTGCCCTCCCCTCCAGACCTAGGTTCCCGCTCGGGCACATTAAGCAGGGCGCACGCACCCCATCCCCGGGGTTAGGAAAATAACAACTGTTGGCCCCCCGGAGCGCCGCGCTGCATCTGCACCTCCCTTCTTCCACCTCCTGGTTTATTTTTAACCGCCTTCCATTCATGTCCTTCTGCCACATCCCCCAATATTATTTATCCCTCAAATGTCCACTGTTTCTTAACAGCCAAAGGAGAAGAGTGGAGGAAAGAGAAGAGAGGTGTCATACTCACCGTTCCCAGGCGGAGTGAAAAATAAATATAAAGAAAACCCCCGCTCGGTTTGTCTTTCCCCTCAAGCTGCAACAGCTGGAGGAGGGGAAGAATGTTCTTGGGGGTAGAAGGAATCACTCCGGTGCGGCAGGTGGAAGCTGCAAAATATCCACGGAACAAGTTCTGTTGCCTGGGGGCACAGAGTCCTCGCTGCTGGAGCCCAGGGTGGGGATCAGGGCTGCCCCGAGGAAGACCCCAACACTTCTGGTTCCTCTGGAGTTCAGCACAGGTGGGCACGATTGGGAAAGGAAGTCAAGGTTCCCCAGAAAAAGAAAATCCTAGACAGCAGCGATCACTTGTTAAGCCCAAATTCCTCCTCCAATATCCATCCCTCTCCCTCTCTCGCTGGCTGCAGAAGCAGCACACGCCTCCCCTGGCCGGGAACGCGCGCCGGCCGGGGGCGGGGCCAGGGCCGTGCCGAGGGTGTGGCGTGCAGGCGGTCGCCTGGGGCACCTCCCCGCGCCGCGGGGCGGGCGCAGTCACGACGCCTGCACCGCCCGCCCCCAAGCTCGGACCCCGACGCCTAGGCTTCGGGGAGCAACAGGGAGCGGTTACGGGAGCCCCTGGCCGCCTCCCCCAAAGGCGAAGCCCTAGTTTCCGAGGGAGAGGTGTCCGCGCTGGAGCTGATATCGGGGTCCCCACAGCAGAGCGGGAGCCCAAGACGGAGGTTGGGAGGGGAGACCTCGACGGGAGGTCCAGGCTCGCCGACCGGGTGCTTCTGCGCGGCTTCTCTCCCTGACCCGCTTTCTCTACACCTCAGCGCACACACGCACCCGCATAACGGGTTTGTGGGTTTGTGGGGTTGGGAGCCCGGGTGCATCTCTAGCTAGGCCGCTAATCGGGAGCCCCCCAGTCGCCTATGCACGCGCTGATTCCCCTTGGTCTCCCCCTCCATTGCACGCTGGTCTGCCTCGACTGGCGGCGGCGGTGGGGGTGGGGGTGGGGGGTCGGGCCTCAGGGCGCAGAGGAGGCCGACTTTAAAAGTGTGCTTGACCCAGGTGAGGGGTGGATTGCAGAAATTGGAATCAGGCCCAGGTTAAGAGTTGCGCACCAGAGGCACGAGTCCAAGTGGAAGAGACTCAGAGGGCTCCCGGCCTGGGGGCGGTGGCCCCTGGAAAGAGTGCAGGAGCCCTCGGCGAACCTGTTGCAAAAAGAACACAACTCGGCCAGAGGTTTGGCTCCAGGGAGATCTTTATGGTAGAGGTCGGAGTTCTACACCACCTACCTTCACTGAACAGCAAAGACAAGCCAGAGCGCCCACAGCGGCGTCCTCGCCCTCGCGGGGGCATGGACTCCTAGGTTGCTTATTAGGCATCAGGCATATGAAATGCCGCAAGACAAGGATGTAAAATTGCAATTCCCATACATCCACTCAAAGTAAGGTTAGCGGTGGAAGTGCGAATTTTTACACACACATAACCACCCAATCTCCAGGCACCTTTCCAGCTCCCTCTGATGGACCAGACAAACACTAGGACGCACACCAGGACTGCTGGAGTAAATCCGACCTTGGGCGGGTCACTTGGCGCTGAGGCGGCCACTGTCGGCCTCAGCTGGCAGCTTTGTTCGATGGCCCTATTGGGCCTCCTCCTTTTGTGGTGCTCGATTAATTATTAAGAGAAATATTCCCGAGCTGAATTATAGATATGCTCTGCTCTCACCTAACTGCTGTTGGCTCAGCGAAGGACACCTGGAGGACTTCTTTTCGTTGTCTGATTTTTTTTTAATCTTTTAAAATAATAAAATAATAAAAATAAAATAGCTAAAAAATTCACATTATAATCAGTGAAAAGAAAGAAAGAAAGAAAAGGAAAGGAAAGGACAGAAGAAAGAGGAAGGATGGAAGGAAGGAAGGAAGGAAAGAAAGGGGGGACAGAGAGAAAGAACTGATGTGCGTGGTGGTTTTCCTAACTTCTTCTAGCTAGTACACCTTGAATTTTTGTCCTGAATAAATTTACCTGTGATCTTCTGGCCTCAACCAGGGGAGGAGGAACTGAGAGAAAGGTACCTCCACACTGGCTCAAGTGAGGTTTCATTAAGGCAAGTAGGAAGGGTGGATTTCTTCAAAAGTAAAAGTGGTCACGTGCTCTGGTTGAACTCTCCCTCTGTACCTCTATAATGTGATGTAGACGCTGTACAGTTTCACACATACCAAAAGCAGATATTTGAGCTTATTGCTGTCTCATGAGAAATATGTTTCTTGGGATGGTAGAAAGCAGGACTGAGAACACAAGATCTTGGGACTGGTTTCCCAAAAGCGATTTGTGAGACCTATCCAGAGCAACTGTGGAATGCTTTCAGAGAGATGAAAACAGAGAGCGATATGAAGTACAAAAGATGACAGCTATATTGAAGTTTGGGTATTTTAATTGGATCATGTTAAAACTTTATGAATTATGTCTCCGTGTGCCCTTTCTTGTTTGTTCCTTTCATGGCCCAGAGAATTTTAAGATTTAAAAATGTCTGAGGACTTTATAAATACTTTGTACTTCTTAGGTATCGGGAATCTGAATTACTAAAGCACCACAGTGAGAACACAGCTGACAGAAAACCACTCTCACCAAGACAGTCATTCAGGTCATACAAGGAGGACTTATTGAGGACTCAATCGAGGCAAGTAACACTCATCGAGTACCCACCTAATACCTGGCTCTGTGTAAGTTCTTTGCATGCATATTGTCTAATTTTATCTGCATAAGGAAACACGTTATATGGTAGGCACTATTTTATTTACATTTTACGGAGAAGGAATTGAGGTTTACAATGGTTAACAAACTTGCCTAAAAGTTATATAGCTAACTATGTAACAGAACTGGGCCTTTAACATCAGACTCAGCAAGCAGGATGGACCCCGTGCTAATGATGTAACACCATGTGTTCTGTGCCCATTTGTCCTCACAAAGGAATGGCTGTTTCAGATACATAGATTATGAAACAAGGGGGTATGTGCTATGATGAAGGTATGAGAGTGGTGTTCCGGGGATACAAAGAATAGAGTAGCATCTAATTGGGGGAAGCAAGGAAAGATTGACCAGGAAAGGGGAAATGTGTCTGAACAATGGCGAGAATAAAGTTTATGCAGGCATGTGTCATCAGGGTGAACCAAGAGTAACTAGGATATGGGGCGCCTGGGTGTCTCAGCTGGTTAAGCTTCGGACTTTGGCCCAGGTCATGATCTTGCAGTTTGTAAGTTCAAGCCCCGTGTTGGGCTCTGTGCTGACAGCAGAGCCTGGAGCCTGCTTCAGATTCTGTATCTCCCTCTCTCTCTCTGTTCCTCCTCTGTTCATGCTCAGTCCCTCTCTCTCTCTCCCTCTCTCTCTCTCTCTCTCCCTCTCTCTGTCTCTCTCTGTCTCTCTCTCAAGAATAAATAAACATTAAAAAATTAAAAAAAAAAAGAGTAACTAGAATCTGATTGATAGGTGGGGTCCCACTGGGAAGAACATTCTGCTCCCCAGCCTTCACCCATCTCTCTCTCTCTCTCTCTCTCTCTCTCTCTCTCTGTCTCTCTCTCTCTCTCTCTCTCTCTCTCTCTCTCTCTCTCACACACACACCTCTTTGCCCTTTCTTTATAAAGCAAATGATAAACCTTCCATTTCTCTCCCTGAAATTCTCTTAAAGAGTCCCAGAAATTCACATACACAGTAGCAGAAAGATTTTTTGCTTGTGACCAACAAAATCTACCTTGTCTCAGTCCCCGAAATCTATTTTCCTTGGAGAGGAAAAACTCATTTTCTAACCTTTCTTAGTCATTGACTAGTCAACATTCTTTAAGCTCCTCATCTCCAAATACACCTTTTACCACAAATAATTTCTCCCTGGCTTTGAATTCTCTCAGTGGTGGTACATATGTTTCAGACCACACTATGAAGTCTTTGTTTATATAGAAAGGGGCAAAGGGCATTAGATCTTCCTTTGTACAAAGCAGATAGGAGGCCCTGGGGGATACAAACTAAGTCCATTATAAATGTTTTTGTTCTCTTTGGGGGCTGTGATCCCCAGTGAATTGCAATGTTCTATTTACTTCTCTCTCTCCCTAAGAAGCCTTCAACCCTTCCCTGAAAATAGGCACTGTATCCCAAGCAACCAGTGCAAAATACCTGACCCAGAGTAGGCACTGGATAAGAATGTAATAATATGAATGAATAATGGAAGAGGCTGGCTTTCGTTTGCCAAAAACGTTCAGCGTATGTGTTGGGAGAAAAAAAAAGAAGATGGTTTTTTGCCTGCTTACTCCCAGCCTCTCAACTATCTGACTTTTAAAATTCTGAAGGATGTGAAAATAAAGTCCTAGGAAAGTTGATCTCATGCTTCCCATTCCCAAATTTATGGATGTGGATGTTCTGTTCTGCCCACATAATTCCTTATAAAATGTAGATCACTCAGCCAGTTTTTCCTTATACATGGATTTTCAATGACTGTCCATTACCATTCCCCATTCCTGATTCCATCTTATCCATATCAGTACTGGTGAGGTCTTAAGATGTAAGAAAAGCATATTTACTTTTTTTGACAGTGAGGAAACATCATCCCTGCAGAGGAAGACTGACTACTTTCTTCCTGACTTTCTGATCACAACATTGCCCCAGGCACAATGGACAGCAGGATATCCTGCACCTGCCTGGGGAGGACGCCTGTGGTCTAGAAGGTGCAAGATGAGTCAACATACTTAGGTGGTAGGGGTCTGTCTGGTAGAAGTCACACAAGGGGCAGAGAGAAGCAGTAATGTAAGTGAAGCTAGAAAGAAAAGTCCTAAGGCAGAAGAAGGCAGAAGGAGCCCCAAGGCAAAGGCTAACTGGACAAGAATGGCACTTGTGAGGATAAGAAAAGATAAGCAGACCACACTATGGTTTAGGAAAGGAAAGTGAGGGTGGACGTGGATATGCCATGCTCAAGAGTTGGAACTAGGGGCTATGACAAAACACTGCATAAAAGGATTCACAACCCTTCTTTTATCTCTACATGCAGGACAGATGGGGTTCATACGCGTAGTGCATTGCCCTAGGCAAACTTAGATCAGCAGTGGCAGCATCTCCTAAATAGACTGAGTTACAAGCATTTCTGGTCTTCCTGGCTGCAATGGTATCCCTTTCTCTCCATCTATGAATGCATCTCGGAGGCCAAGTGAGTGAAACTGAGTTGGCATAGTCTAAATTATCTCTGAATAGTTTCCTAAATGCAAATCCATCAAAAATGTCCTTTAATTGAAGCAAAGCACCCCACCTTGAACCGTGATACACTGATGTGGGGGGACATCCCCTCTGTCAGATCTACTCTTCCACAGTGAAGTACAGTCTTCCTTTTAGCTCTTTGTTCTGCTTTCCTTACACCTAAGTGGAAAATAGGGCAATTGTGGAGACTCACTCAAATAAACTTAGGTGCAAAATAAAAATCACCCACAACCTTGTCTTGGCACCAATCAGGAGCAAACCTGGGGCAGAGGTGAATCAAGTGAGGTTTAGGTATAGAATGGTGTTATTTCCTATAGACTACCACCACCATGCCTTTTGTAGCAACTTCTATTAGTTTACATCAAGGAACTTTTCCATATGCCTACATATAGGCCTTTTCATAAAAATAAGAGGTCATGGCATACTTCCTGCCAAAACTATGTTCCAAACCCCCCAGAATCCCTTTTAAATTCAGTCAATAACCATGGATGGCTTTTTATTCCTTGCTACCAGAGAATCTATAATGAAACAGAAGTTGTAACTGAGGACAGCACATCCTGCCTTTTAGAGAATAAGCAGCAGAGTGTCAGACCCTGGGGAGGAATCTGGGAACTACATTTACAAATCAGGACACCTGGGGATAGCAATCATCATCGCCTTTTATGTAAATGTGAGTGGAATTCAGATTGTAGAACTGTGAACATTTCTCTCTGCCCAGGGCTATCTTCTTAACCCCTAGAAGAGCCCCCTACTATCCATTCCCTAGCCCTTTGGAGGAGCATGTGCTAGACAAGAGCTCTCTGACAATTAACTAAATCAGAAGGAGAGGTATTCAGGGTGATGGCATCTTGGAAGAGGTGTGTAAACATTCTTATGATGCAGAACAGAGGCCTATTATGAGCTTTGGTGATGCCTGTTCTAGGGAGTGAATGGTGTTGAACAAAATCAAACTGGGGGAGTAGGGGAAGGAGTCAACTCTTACAGCAGAATCTAGCCTTTCCTATTTTAAGAGGCAGAGAGAGAGAGAGTGCACAAGAGGAGGGAGGGAAGAGAGAGAGAGGGGGAGAGAGAGAGAGAGAGAGAGAGAGAGAGAGAGAGAAAATCCTAAGCAGGCTCCGTACTGTCAGTGCAGAGCCCAACGCAGGGCTCAATCTCATGACTATGAGATCATGACCTGAGCCTAAACCAAGAGTAGGACACTTAACCCACTGAGCCACCCTGGCACCCCTCCAGCACACTAATTCTAACAGCATCTTGCCAGATTGTTTTTAAAGTCTTGGGAAACTTTGGTACTCTTACTTTTACAGGACCTTTCTGGCATTGTATCTAGCATATTTAAAATGCGTACACATTCCATATTAAAGGTTATGTCAACTATTTTACAATTGAGTTGCAACTGACTAGTAGACAGTATTATACTGACATTTCACAGTATTTTTCCCACTGTATTTCAGAGCTAATCATTTCATTTTCAGAGCATAAGCACTTCATAACCTTGTGAAAAGTTTATAGGCACAAGTCATGGCCCAGAAACAAACTATAATACCTGAACAAAGAAGCAGCTCCTTGATTAGTATCAAGTATTTTAAGATTTTTGCCTTTTTAAGGAATTATTAACTAATCTCATTGGCTGATAAAGTCTGGATGAAAAGTATCCTCCTTCACCTGTTTATTTGCGTATGAATATATGCTGACCTTTGTGAATGTATCCTGTGTTTATGTTGTCTTCTATGTTGTGTGTAAGCTATAATGGGAAAGCTAATTATTAAAGTCTGCAAACGCACCCAGAGGCTACTGTGAGTGATGCATCCAAAAAAAAAAAAAATCTAAAAATAACTAAGTAATAAATAACCATTTGCAGATGGGAATTGTTCATGCAGTTTTCTAAACAACAGCAGATTTCTTTAAGATATGTTTTTTTTTTAATTTTACTAAGTGTACTAAATCTTCTGTACTTAAAGGCAGATAATTTGAATAAGAGTGACATAAAATTGACTGCCTCCAAATTAGAGTTATTTTTAAGACAATATCAAACCATCGCTTTCATCTTAAAATAGCTTTACACATGCATATTCTATGTTAGTTAAAAGCACGAAGAGAGTCATTTCTGAAAGGCAGGGCAATTTTTTTAGCAATTATATTAGCAACTATTTTAGAATACCACAATTGCTAAAAATGTAAGGGCTACTCTTCAAAATAATATCATGATTGCTTAGTGTTATATTTGTTCGGGTTCACATGAAATAAAAAAAAATAATAAAAAGGATAAAAAAGGAGACTAAACTAGAGCTACAAAGTTCATTATAGTCTGGGAATACATTGCAGAAATAGTCAGAAAGCTGCAGTTTTCAGCAAGGAAAGATGAAAGGAAATTAGGGATTTTTAGGAGGGGTGGCATTCCAAACTTTGCAAACAGTTAAAATAGTACTACTAACCAAAATTTAAAATCACCATATAGAGTGGGCTTGATATGTGATAATATGAAACAGTTTATTCCATCCAGGATGGATTCAAAGTATTTGGCACAATCTTTCAAGAGAACTCCAGTTCACATGGCTTTTTACCATCACTAATGTATATATAGTTAGTGGTCTGGTCACATGCTCCAAACTTAGCTCAACACAGACCCTGCACTAATAACATACTTAATAACACAATTAATTTTCCTGTTTGTAAGGCAGTGTACATCCATCAAGTGAGAAACTTTGGGTCTGGTATTAAGCTTAAAGAAAAAATTAGTATAATCTCCTCTTCCACTTGGGGAAGTTACTAAATATTTCATTCCTAAATGAATGTGATATATGCAAAAAATAATTTCACTTGCTTACAGTGATATATAGATTACAGATTAAAAGCACAGCCTCTAAAATCAGTAGATATCTATCTATTATTAGATGTATGAGCTTGATTTGGTTTAAACTTTCTAAATGTAACATTCTCATATACAATATGAGAATTGCACCTGCTGTTTATTATACTTAACACTTATAACTCAGAGAAAACATAGCTATTTTTATTAAACCAAAAATATTATGTAACTGTCATTTGCCAAAGATTTGCCTAAATTATGTGAGCTTGAAATCGTAAAACATATTTGATTTTATTTCTGTAAAGGTACTTTTTAAATCTAGCACATTGAAAGTCTTAGTAATTCAATTTCCTTAATTTCTTGGAATTTTAGGGATATTCAATTATATACGCAATAATTTACCTCTAAGCCTATCAGAATAGAACTCCTTAAAGAGATCTTATAATCAAATTCAGTAATTTCCTCTGAAAATAGGAAATATTATATAATGAAAGGCAAAAGCCTTTCTAAATGACAGACATAAATATCCAAAGAGAGAAAAGAAAACATAGCTGTAATTCCAAAATTTCAGTCATAAGGGCGCTTGAATGGCTTAGTCAGTTAAGCATCAGACTCTTGATTTTGGCTCAGGATGTGATCTCATTGTTGTGGGATTGAGCCCCATGTTGGGGCTCTGTACTGAGTGTGGAGCCTGCTTAAGATTCTCTCATTCCCTATTCCTCTGTCTCTCCCCTCTCAGACTCTCTGTCTCAAAATAAATAAATGTTTTAATAAAATAGAATAAAATTTCAGTCATAGGTCAAACAGAAACACAGAAACACAAAATGCACTGATCCACATTAATAAGCTATTCCTTTCCCAGTGGGCATAAGTTCTTAATTAATTTGAACTCAGACAAATAGACAAACAGAAAAGACTAACAAACCAGAGTCTCTTATTGTCTTTCACATGAAAGAGACAAGATTTCTATAAATCATTAATTCCTTTACAGAGACCACCAAAAGAAGACCACAAAACCATAAGAAGCTGGCCACAGAAATCAAGCTGGCACCTTACCCTGCTACCTGTGGACATGAGTCCATAGCACAGGAATCAGACTCACCACTGGGTCTCCAATCATTCTTCAGGAGCAGAGCAAAAAGGGGTACCAGAGGCTTCTTTACCTGGGTATGTAAACAGGGACCCAAAAATCCGAGATCTGGTCCTCTCTGAGTTACAGCACCAAACTGTGAAAGACAAATACACCAGCCAAGGAGATTATTTTATGCAAAGTATTACAATAGCAAGAATATTCATTAATAAGGAATGTCTCAAAGAACAAAAGGGGACCTGGGACTTTTTAGTGGCAAGTAAGCAAGAAAGTCATCCCAGACTTTATGGGAGTCCTGAGAGAGGACAGAAATGGGTCTTCTCTCAAGACACACCAGTGCAGGGTGCAAAGTGGTCCTTAAAGGGTGGGAAGATTTCCAAACCATTCTTATTTTCCAGAACCGAAAGGGCTCAGATAAAGTTCAGCATTATCACATTGTCAGTTTTATAAAATGTTTACTCATAAGGGGAAAAGTGTCAGCAATTATTGTTGGAGGGCACAGTACACTTGGCAGTGTAATTTACATATTCTGCATAGAGTCAAATACTGACTATCCTTTATTACCTGTAGGATGTTGGGGAAATTACATAATTTCTCTGGTTTTTAATTTTCTTATCAGTTTATTGGGCATAAAAAGTAGTGGTCTCTTCGTAAAGCTGTTGTGAAGATCAATTATCACAAAGACAAAAAATTCAAAGACCAGGTTTTCACCGCTTGCACTCACAGTGGTTAACTATCATTGTCATCACCACTTAGAACTGAGTGAATGCCATAAAACAAGAGGTTACTGTTTTTTTCCTAAAATCCACTTGGTGAAGTAAACATTTCTAAAGCATAAGGATTTACTTTTTTATTTTCCCAATTGGCTTGGTAATTTTAACAGAAACTTTGGTACTTCTTAATATAATATTTAAACATTATTGTCACTTCATTAAGATAGAGGGAAATTTTGAATTTATTTCTTTAAAAAATTCTGTTACTGTAGAGGAAGCAGGAGATAAGCTGTTCCCTACATAATTAACTGAATCATGGGGCGCCTGGGTGGCGCAGTCAGTTGAGCGTCCGACTTCAGCCAGGTCACGATCTCGCAGTCCTTGAGTTCGAGCCCCGCGTCAGGCTCTGGGCTGATGGCTCGGAGCCTGGAGCCTGTTTCCGATTCTGTGTCTCCCTCTCTCTCTGCCCCTCCCCCGTTCATGCTCTGTCTCTCTCTGTCCCAAAAATAAATAAACGTTGAAAAAAAAATTAAAAAAAAATAATTAACTGAATCTTAACAAATTAAACCAAAATCAAAGTTGGAGAAAACTAAATGACGCTAATGATGTTGTGTTAAAATTTGTAATTCTGCTGTTCTCCAACTGAGCTGATGTAAACTAGAACTGATTGAATGTAGTTTGAGAAAGATAATGTTTAACTTCTTGTCATCTTCTTTTCCTTTTAATGAGTGAAATTAATGGTAAGGAAATTTTGCTAGATCACTGACTATGGAAGGACAAAGGTTTTCCTGTTGAAGAGTAGCAAATAAAGCAGTCCTACAAATTCTTGAATGACCAGGCAATTCTCTTCCTCTACTTAGAGCTTGGAGAGCTTTGTCACAGGGTTCAGAGTCTGTATCTCTTTCAGTTCTCAGCCTCCTACTGATGCTATTAATGCTACCTAATTTAATGACCTTTACAATATCAAGAAGGAAAATAATTTATGCTGATTTCCTTGACTCCCTACCTGTGATGAGGACCGATTCAACGGGGGGGGGGGGAGATGGTGAGATGAGGGAGCATTTTTTTTCTCATTCTGAGCTGAGTCTCTCAAGCACTTTACATCCACATTGCAAAGGACTTTAGAGGTAATACCTGTTTGCTAAGTGGACCAAACTTAGAGCTTTGAGCTAAAGAGCTCTTGAAATCATCCAGTACATTTAGTATATTTAAAAACAAGACAAAAATTTTATTCCAAGAACTGAGCATCATAACAGATGATTATAAGAAAGAAGAGTACGGCCATAAGAAGATTCAAATCTACCTAAATGCTTGAGAAGACAAAGCCAACCTTTACATGACATTGTACTAAATATATAACATAATATATAAGTTTTTCTGGTTTCTGAAGTCCTTTGGTTCAGATTCTGATTCTATCACTGATAGACAATAGACAGTTAACTGTAAACTTCCTTTTCTTCATCTGAAAAGCAAGAATAAAGGAAGTATACACATTGCAGAATTGCTTTGAGGATTAAAGAGAAAATTCAATTGATTAGCTCAGTTCTTGGCCCATGGTAAGTACTCTAAGAAATGTTAGTCACAGTAGTAGTAAAAGAGTACATATATATATATATATAGAGAGAGAGAGAGAATAAAAAATTTATATATAGACCACATGCATAGTCTACAATTAGCAAATCTGAGAGTATATAATTAAATAATATGTATGGTGGCACAGATATAAATGTAATAGCAAGTCAAAGGAAGGAAGAACAGTGGGGATATCCTTTGGAAAATTAATGTTTTTTTCTACCATGCCTGGCAACTAGTAAGCTCTTGATAAATGTTAGGTGCTTTTATTATCACTGTTATTGATTGTGGTAGGCTTTGTAGAGGAGGTTAAGACTGGAGTTGAACCTTAAAGAATGGGTAAGATAAGAGTAGCAAAAAGGACTCTCAAATGAAGATAATTTCAGGACTGAGGTATCTGATGTGGGAATCAGCATGACACAGCCTATGAAGATAAGACACTGGTCTGAAGAGAACCAGTGGGGATATCCTCCAATTTATCAATAAGGTGTTTTAATTATTATCTTCATTAATAATCCTTATAGTGTTTGAGTGCCTGTTACTATATGTAGTAAGCTGAACCATGGCCCCTGGTCCTTTGTGTCTTAATCCCCAGATCTGTAAATAGTATCTTATTTGGAAACAAGGTCTTTGCAGATGTAATTAAGTCAAGGATCTCGAGATGAGGAGATCAACCAGATTACCCAGGTGAGCCCTAAATCCAGCAAATATCCCTATAAGAGAAACACAGGAGAGGCCCACAGAGAACAAGATAAGGCAATATAGCCATGAAGCAGAGACTGGAGTAATGCAGTCACAATCTCAGGACTACCAACAACCACCAGAAGCTAAGAGAAGCAAGGAACAAGAACTCCCCTTGAGACACATTGGGTTTGAACTTCTGACCCCCATAACTATGAAAGCATACCTTTCTATTTATTGGTTTGACAAACAAAGCTGTGGTATTAAAAAAAAAAAACAAACAAAACCCAGCCACACTGAAAATGAGTACACTATGCCAAACATTTACTTTATTCAACCTAAGCCTTCTACAATCTTCTAAAATACAACATAAGTGTTATCATCACCAGTTACAGTTGCTATAGAAATATTTAATAGGCACTACAGAGGTATTTAACAGGCACATCTAACCTAGTCTAAAGGAAGGGTCAAGAAAAACTTCTCTTTCTTTAAAATGTTTCTTTATTTATTATGAGAGAGTGTGCATGCTCTGGGGAGAAAAGGGGCAGAGAGAGAGGAGAGAGAGAATCCCAAGCAGGCTCCCCAACACAGGGCTACATCCCACAAACTGTGAGATCATGACGTCAGCCAAAATCAAGAGTTTAATGCTTAACCAACTGAGCCACCTAGGTGCTCCAAGAAAAACTTCTTAAAGGAAGAAATGTCTAAAGTTCAATTAATTATATGGGTAGGAGTTAGCCTATACAAGAACTGAGAGGCATGACAAGCAGGTGGAGGGCCTAGACGAAAGGATGAAGGACTGAACAAAGTTTGGAGAGGTTGGGAAACAGGAGAAAGAGTATCTTGGATGGAGCACTAGGGTTTGACCAAAGGTGGAGGATCTGCCTGAGCCTGGGTGGGCTTCCCGGAAACAGAGGGAGGCAGGCTAGAGGAGAGGCAGAATCTAGGAGATTCTAATAACAAGGAGAGATCAGAATATCTTTGTTTTATCAGCTAGCCTTTTGATAAATAATAGATAGGCCTGGATTATTTTAAAGCCGTGCAGGTGTGGAAGGGGTAGGGGGAGAGAAAGGGGATAAAATACACATGGAAATCGGCATATGCTCTCCAGGGTTTTGCAGAAACCAGTTGGTAGCCCCCAAAGAAAATCAATAACCACTGCTTCTATTTGTGGCTCTGTTTCCACAGAAACGTGTTTGCGGGTGAATTTGGAAGGCAGATTTACAATGCCAAAACCACCAGTCCAAAAAGGAGAAAAATTCAGTTCAAATAAACTTTTCACTATAGTAATAAATGTTTGATTTTACTAACATTTTTCCATTTAATTAACTGAATTTGGAGAGGATTATCAAATAAACTCAGCCATGCTCCTGTAGGCACAATAATAATGAAATCTGGGAGCAATATTAGCTTCAGTATAAGCAGAGTATGCAAAAGCTGGTAGGAAAATGTTTGGCTGGCCTGTCAAGTTGAACCTATTTTCAAAAATAATGAATATAGTCAAACTTTAGGGCACTATGCTAGTGAGGTTAACACTGATTAAAAGAAAAAAAAAATCTCACTTGTGCTTTTGTGTCTTCCTCAATTTTTTTTTAATGTTTATTTATTTTTGAGAGAGAGAGACAAAGACAGAGACAGAGACAGAGACAGAGCAGGGAAGGGGCAGATAGAGAGGGAGACACAATCTGAAGCAGGCTTCAGGCTCTGAGCTGTCAGCACAGAGTCCGACGCAGGGCTCAAATTCAGGAACTGCCAGATCATGACCTGAGCCAAAGTCGGACACTTAACTGACTGAGCCACCCAGGTGCCCCATGCCTTCCTAAGTCTTTTTTTTCTTTTTATTTTTTTTAAAACGTTTATTATTTTTGAGACAGAGAGAGACAGAGCATGAACGGGGGAGGGTCACAGAGAGAGGGAGACGCAGAATCTGAAACAGGGTCCAGGCTCTGAGCTGTCAGCACAGAGCCCGACGCGGGGCTCGAACCCACGGACCATGAGATCATGACCTGAGCCGAAGTCGGACGCTCAACCGACTGAGCCACCCAGGCGCCCCATGCCTTCCTAAATCTTAAATGCTGTACCGTATATGTTATAGACACATGGTAAAAATG